GTGTGTGTGTGTGTGTGTGTGTGTGTGTGTGTGTGTGTGTGTGTGTGCGCCCAACACTAAGCAACTGCCCAGGGGAAAGGAGCACATGAACAGTGAAAAGGGGCCAACTCAATAATGCAAACACTGGCTCATTAATGAACATTATGCATAAATGAATAATGTCTTCACACTTGTGGCAGTGATATAATAAAAAGCTATTTCATTTTTAGAGACACAATTTTTGTCTCATCACTTCAGATAGTTGCGTAATTTAATTTCCTCAGATCTGAATGGTTCTGTTGGTTAATTAATCCAATTATTAGATTATTGTTTTTAGTTGTCTTTACAAATGAGTGAGATAATAGCTATATTCATACGACAGACAGAATAATAGATATGACAAGCGTATTCCTGCTATTACATGTGCAGTGTCAATGTTACCTTGTGCGGGAGCACAGTTAAGTTATGAAAAAAGCTGATTTCCTCACCCAGAAAACTGTATATCAAACTGCCTGAGCAGAAATGACAGATTTTACTTCCTCCCAAAATAATCGAGTTGTAGCGTTGATCTCATAGTGTTGTCTAAAAATGAATTTGTGTCAGGTCAGCAATCACAAATCCTGTCAAACCATTAGTGTGTGAGGCTGATGCCTTTGTTCCAGAGTAAATCTCAAACATATATCACAGCATATATCTCCGTAATCTATCAATCTGTAACCTATTTATAAATGTTAATACATTTAGAAACAAAAAAACTAAATAAACTGATGGTGCTTTGAGCTGCACAAATGATATTGAAGGCAAGAGAAGAACATAACAATCCATCACTGTTTATAAAAGTGAGCAATGGCTGTTTACACTTGATCAACTTTTTTACGTGTTATGACACTGGCTGTAAGATTCCAAGAGACAAACATGGGATAGAGGCAAATGCTATTTGTGATCAGCACACATTTCAGCAAGAAAACAAACTGGGCTGGTAAACAAGATTAAGAGTAGCAGGGGCTCCCGTCTTTTTTTTCATGTAGAGCTAAACAAAATATGTGTTTTCTTAAACAAATTGTGATTGTCAATGGTACTGTATTTGTTATCTATCCATCTATATATCTATCTATATACTGTATATCTATATTAGTTACAGTTTTGGGCAAATGTGTCAGAACACACAATTTGTTTGCATTATAAAATGCATGCTTCACTCTTGGTTGATATGTCATATGATGTTTTTTTGTAACAACAGTTGCTTTGCATGCTTCCATCATGCCTTTATATAGATTTTGGAGAAACAGTGATTTACATTACTTTTTCTTTTCAACAGTGCAGAATCAAACTCGTCAACAGTGCAGTTAAATGGTTGTGTCTTTGGCCCTTGTTCCACGGTGAACCAAGGGTTTTGATAGGTTTATGAAGTTTGTGATGGTTTGGGTATCAACTTACAGCACTTCTTTGGGCTCTGGTTGTTGCGCATGAGAACCTTCTGGTTTGGAGCACGGAACAGTCTTGTCCAGTTCACAGTGCTGTAGTAGCAAAGCTGGCTGTTCTCTGCAATGTGGACATTCCCAGCACTGATCTCTCTCAGGGACTGGAGCTGCAGTGATGAGATGCCCTGCTGCTTCAACACCAGCAGGGAGATCCCACTGAGAGGGAAGAATGGGTGGAGGTGAGAGGAGGAGAGGGCAGAAGTAAGAAGAAAGAGAAAACTAATGTTTTAGTTCTGAAAGTGGGGAAACGAGTAGCAACATTCCAGTGTGGACTTAATTTGAAGAAACACTAACATTAAACAACACCAATGGAGTAAGATAAAGGAAACCGATTATCTCCTCCGTGGTCTTGCTTGTGCACAATTACAATCACTCATCATAATATCATCATTTCACAATAATAAGGTGTGTAGATTATTAAACATTTTCCAGTTAGAACCTTTAATATTCTAGTCTTGTCGCCCTTCAATAAATACTCTTCATCTGCTTAATTCTTATTTTATATATTTTCTTTGTGGCCACATTTTGCTATATGCTGCCTCAATCACATAACTTAAACATATTGAACACTCTTTTTCTTCCTTCTTTTCTTCAAAGCCCCCACCCGTCCCCCATACGCCCGACTTGCACAGTTTAAAAATGACAGGAGGCCAGTGGGGTGTCAGAGCCAGAAAGACAGACATTATGCGGGATCAAGCATGGGATAAAGGTGGATGGCAGGCCGTAATTTGTACTGCACCCTGCTGTTTCCATCTGCAGGTGGATGACACACAAGAGCATCCACATGCCTACACTCACACACACACACACACACACACACACACACTACATCCCACTATGCTATCAGCCGCACTGACGCTCACTTTTTTCCATCCAAATGTCATAGCAAACTTTCAAGAACCTTTGGAAAAATCACTCAAATTCATCTGAGTTAAAACAACTAAATTGGCTTCTTAAATCTCAAAACAAAACCATCACAAAAATATGTTTTGGCCCCCAAACCAATTCTGTGGTACCAAGCCATATTTCTTAGTGACTTACCGACTATAGAAGAATAACCCACCAAACCACATTCATTATTTAAATACATAACCTAAGCCACTTGTATTATTGTCCTTGTTACATCAACAATGTCTGTCCGTTAAAGGTGTCCTGTGGAGTTTTTGACTGCTAGTAGTGCTGCGGAGCAGTTTTTATATGAAGACGCATAAGTGCATACAGTACAGTGCATAATGCGATTTGATGCGATAAACAGTTTTAGCTAATGCGGCAATGTGTCAACAAAGGCAGATTATGTTTTGGTGCATACTACTCAATGTAAAAAGGGTTTGTTTACAAGGAAACTCCACAGGGAACCTTCAATCATGTACCATTTTGATTACATTGTCACTGATTTAGTGGGATTGTTTAATACATTTGATGAATCCAATCATTATTAAATTGACTCTTTTTTTAATTACCAAAAGAGCTCGACTTTCAGAGAAAACTGACATTTCTTTGCCACAAAATAACACTACAAGCATTTGTTTTTTACCAGCTTGTCTATCCGTTCAAAGCACCGGGCTCTATTTGAGGCAGTGTTGACACAGCTATGATATGAATTACACTCGGACTCAAAAAAATTCCAAAATGTATAATATTCTCAGACGTGTACCTGTACAGCGCTCTTCCCCCTATCGTTGCCAGGTTGGAGAAAACACTCAGGTCTGTCATGTTGTCAGGCCAAGACTGGATGTTCAGAAAGCCTAAATGGGAACACAGACACACACACACACACTCTGGTTATACTGTAATGAGTCACCAGTACTGACAGACTAATTTCAGCTGTCTATCATATCCTCTATTTCACACTGTGATGTGAATAAAATGAGTAGGGAGAGTTGTCATCCCTCTGGATTTAGCAACATTCCAGGACCACAGTAAGTACACCACCCGAGTCTCATTTCATAGCAGCCGAGCACCTCTAAGCCAAAAAACAACGTTATGGGCAGAAATTCCACAGAGGAGTTTGGTGCCAGCTATGACCAGTGTAAAGTCTGATCAATATTTTTGCATTTTCTTAACCTGCCCCTCTACTGTTGAATCATTTAAAAGATTAAATGAATACCTGAGAAGATGGCTGTGGCTAGGATTTTCAATAATGTATTTAGATATATGAAATATTTAGTTGGGAAAGGGTGTGTGTGTGTGGGGGGGGGGGGGGGGTAGCCAACAAACAAATCAGTTTGATGAGACTATGAGACCAGGGCAAAAATGTGGGGAGCAGAGTGAAGAGCGGTGATAAGAAGGTGAAAGTAAAGGAAGTTCTGGTAACACATCAAAAGAAAACACAGGGGCAACCAGCCAGAGAGAGAGAGAGCAGTGGATGGTGAGAAAAGCCTCATGGGCAGTGTGGTGCATTCTCTAATCAATGAACAGTTTTTGACTCCCATTATAATAAACTGTGTTTTCCTCACTCGGGATACAAAGTTTATCCGGAAAGGGAGGGATGGTGGAGCAAGGTAAGCAGAGTTGCAGAGAAGAAGACCCCTCATGGCTTGTTGACAAGACAGCAATAACCTTCAACAACACCTTTATCAGTTCGTCAACATCGTTTTGTTTGTCGTATCAATCCCAGCTGAGCAGTGGCAGGGTCTCTGAGCAAAATGCATATCAAAAGTGTGTGATGAAGAAATGAGAAAAAAAAAAAAAGTTGGGTAATTATGAGGAATAACACACCGGGGCTCAGAGACAGCAGCTGAATTTGGATCGCATCCTCACATGTTAGCTATTCTTCTTATCCTTAGTAAAGTATTATGTGGTATTTATACAGAATCCTGGTTTATACAGAAACCAGTTTTGGTAATCGTCCATGTTGTTTATTACATTCCTGTCCCTGACCTCATGGTGTGCACTGCCCAGAGGCAGCAACGCTATAGAATTGTTAGTGTACTTGTCAGCACTAATTGTCTTAATGACAAAACCTGCAGTACTGAGGCACCTCACAGCTTCATCACAGGGCTCTTTTGGGGTATGTGGGTGCTTCCTTACAAAGGTAACAAGCTATACTGCCTGTGCTATTGCAATACTTGGCTAACAGCACACATATGCTGTGCATGTACAAGGACGGTACAGATTCTGTGTGGACACCAAACTTCTAATTGTATATATTCACAGTTATGAATTACAATTTCACAAAAAAACGTACAATAAAAACAAATATTATATATTATATAATCTGTCTCATACTGTATTCCTGTTTTTACTCTGTGAAGATGACAGCTGGTGTATATTCTTTGTCGTGTAGGGCTTTGGACAGGTTGTGAGGCTAAGATGGAAGGTGTGTCGATGATGAGGCATCTCGGATCCTTGTTTGTGCTCTTTGGTAAAGCTATTGTTTTGGAGTTCAAGACAAAGTCTGATGATATTCTATATTTTTCACATTCGATTCCAACAGGTTTGCCCATGGAGTCTGATGCATCTTATGCATCTGTGTAACAGACCTCCGCTGTTATCCAAAAAACACATCAGTGGGCAACGCTGTTGCCCTGGGTGAGGGAACACAGGCACTGTAGTTCATTTTTAGTCAATCCCATGTACACTGTCCTCATGCAGTGAATACTCACTGCTGCACCAAATGCTGAATAATCCTCATCTGTAAATAATCCCCATGTGCACTCTTTACTACTTTTTGAGTAACCTTCGATAAAAGCTACAGTGCTCAGCTGTTTTGGGAAATTACTGAGCCTTTTTTAATAAACAAACTATTTGTGTGTGACCTGTTTCACAGGATTTACAGTGGATCTTCTGGAGGAATGCATGGGCTTAGTGTGAAGCAGACAGGGTTGGGAAGTCAGAAAGTATGGAAAGATCAACCAGGATTGCTAGTTTTGGTTTCGTCATGGGATTAGTTTACAACAAGAAAGCACAGAAAAACAGCCAAGTTAATGCTTACAAGTTAATGTAATGCTTACATTTGACACACTTTACATTTCACTGGGAGAAAGGATATGCTGAAGTATTCCAGAGAGTCATACATGTAATTGTATGGAAATTCACGTAGACGTAATGGGAAAATTGTATTTAGCCTCATCCTTATGTTTTATTGCCTTTGCCTTCCCTGTCAATGGATGTTTTTGTGCAGAAAAAGCAAAGTCAAAAGATCACTTAGCAGGGGTTCATGTGTCGCTGAGAGCCACATCAGTGGCACAACAATGCACACGACGAATTACAGCATGGAGCATTTAGATAAGAAGGCCATGAGCTCACAAGCAAAGGTTAAGAGTGCTTGAATTGTGGCGATTACATCCGAGCCACAGCACTGAGAAACCCACTTACCCACGCTAATCTGCGTGAGTTGATTACCCACTCTTTGGGTGAAACCTGAAACTGGTGCTGTGTCTTTGAAGATGCTGCAAAGGCAAAGCAAGACTCATTTAAAAAAAGAAAGGAAGGAAGGAAAATAATTGAGAAGAGAGAGACGTGTGTGCTGTTGAGTAGCAGGAGAGCTGTCCTCCTTCCCAGCTCATTTGAAAGACAGAGCAATGCCAGTTGTGACCTTGGGGTCACCGAGGCAGGTTGGCTGCCTCTGTCAGAAGTCATGTTCTCTTGACAGCTCGGAGAGATGACAAGCTGAGCTGACAAACATCTCGGACTACATTGGGTTTGGCCAATGGGTTATCCCCATCATAGGCTCTCAAACTGCCACCGCTAAACAGAATGAGTAAAAAACCCAAACAAATGTTTTTTTTGCAAATTAAAGTAGTTCATACATTATTGCAACTACTTTCGTTCTTCAGAGTTCTATTCAGATTTGTATCAGTTTAAAATGCACTCAGGACCGGATTTGTGTGGCTACTTTCACACATTCTGAGCTTTCAAACTGAAACCAACGTGTGATCTATTAGACAGCAGCTAACTACTAAGTTCATGACTGAGATTGCTGAATATTCATATTTAAGTTTAAATCCATTTTAATATGTTCTGCCTTGCACCTATTGCACAGTCAACCATGGACCACGGGCAATCAAGTTGTATTCAATGGTTTCTTACCCCACACAGTAATAGATGGATTTGTTGGTTTGTTTTGTCCTCTTGTTTTGTGATTGTTATATTTCAGTAGATTTTTTTCCCCTTCTGTTCCTGTCTATTCTCTTTCCTTTTGTTTTTCCTCTTTTGAGTCCTTCAACTTGTGCTTGTTGTGAAAAGGATCGATCTGTTGTTAACCAATTTATCACAACTTGCTGGAAACTCAAACCAAGTGGATGTGATTCAGAAGCTGACCTTTAAATAGGCCAACAGATGAGCTCAGATCATTGACGTCGGTGGTCAGTTGTTTTTTTCCACTAAAGGAAGATACTACACATCAATAATAGCTGGGCATTTTTGAGAAAGAAGTTTGTAGTTGGCTCACTCCTGCCTGAACTACTTTAATTGGTCCTGAACAACAACAAACCAGATTGTTACTTTAACAACTGTAGTAAATTGAAACACTTTCAGTGAAATGCTGTTAAAAACACGTTGAGATTACACACAGACAATTTCAAAAACTCCCTTTCAAACTACATTCTGCTTCTGCACAACGATCCTGCTCACATATGAACAAATTATCTTCAATATTATAGGAATTATGTTCCGTCAGTGACAGCTGACAATAACTCTGTGCGTGGCGTTATTTATAGTTATATAAAAATATAACTTACACTCACAAAAATAAGTAAATGCAGAGATATAGAGCAATGTGTGACTTGATGCTGTGTAATATTTGCATTTGAGGCCAAAAAACGGAGGCCAACAAATTAAAACCTAGTGTTTCCCCTCATCTCAGGGTTAACTAACTCTGACTTTTCACTAAACTGGCTTTCTGGAACAGGGCCCAGTATTACTCAGCTGGTGGCCACTATCATTACATTTATCCTGGCACTTAATATTATGCAATTATTACTCCATATATTACATTCAAAGAATAGTTGCCATCAGTTGCTAAGAAAGTAACATATAGTAGAAATATTTGTACTATCAAAATACAATCAATGTAATCCTGCTGCATCAGACATAAAAAAAGTGTATTTTTAAAGGTGTTCGATATTCAGAGCATTAATATAGCACCATACAACTATTTGCTGCAACATTATGTGGAATAATATCTACTTGAGCAGAGAATGAAGACGCTTCCTCTGTGTGTGTGTGTGTGTGTTTTCATCTGAGCTTCTCCCTGCTGTGTTGACATACAGTAGGTCGGCTGCACGTCCTTTTAGTGCATGTTCGTGCATGTGAGAGTGCCTCACTGACTAGCTCACGGTCGCTGCTCTGTACTGTACTCACACGGCGTTGTCAGGGAAGCATAGCACCCCCCCCCCCTTCGGGTTCCCTCCCAGGTAAACAGTGTTAGCTTTTTATTACTTTTACCATTGTTAGCGCTGTTAGCACAGTTAGCTTCCAAACGCCAGCTCAGCTGTCGCCATCTTGAGAGCCGTTGAGAGACAATTGAAAGGCTCCCAATCTCATATTTAGCACCTTTTAGGAGAAAGAGGGATACTGTTTCATAAAGCTCATGCTTTGTGTGACCCCCGTTAATAAGTCAAAAATGTCACCAACAATATTTCATTTCATCAGGGAGTGTCACATCGGAGATACAAGGTTTCTTTCAGATGGCATTGTTAAATGTCTGGGCTGGAGAAATGACAGTATACATGCAGCTAAGCAGTAGTGATGTCATAGGGGAGCTAGAGGATTAACGATGCGCACCACGTGTTCTGGATCTGTTCTTCATGGTGCGTGAAGGGAGAGCTGGGACTGTGGGACTCAAGGCTAGGGACTCCCCGAGGGAGAAGGAGTAGAGAGACAGAGGAGATTGAAAGACTCATCTGATATTCATCTTATGCTGCAATGTCTGTCCTTGGTGTGGATAGTCTCAGGGGGAGGAGGGGAGGTAGACTTGAGCAAATACACAAACAGATACACACAAGCATTACATACTGTATATGCACTATATGTGGCACAAAAGCGAAAACAGCAGGGATAAAGGGAAGAGCACATTTTTTGTTTGCTTATTAATTTGTATGTATGTGCAGAGATGTATGCTGTGAAAGTGATATTCCTCACCTGTGATCTCCCGAACGGTGCGGAATACATTGAGTTTTTCTGGGTCCAAAGCTTCAATGTTGTGATAGACATCCCTTTGAATGATAATTGGAGATCAGAATAACACAAACAAAAACAGAAAGATCCTAGCATCTGAAATGTAAACTATATCGATAAACCATGTGCTTTTTAATCACAGCAATGACAGATGACCTGCGCTCACCCAGGTATAAAACAGTACAATTAAGAATATCTGATCGAATCAGTAAGACATGTTAGCTGTGGAGTATGTCTTCTATAGTACCTATACACATGCCACATTTCTTTAAGCTCCATAGAGTAATATATGAGCATATACATCTTCTTACCCTCAAGGCACTTTCAGCATACTCATTTCCCACTTGCCATCACTGACACTGGTAACATTATTTATACATTCAGACAATTAACACCTCGCCTACATTTAAAAAAAAAAACTGGACTTTAACAGGACACTCTTATCTCGATGTGAAAAAACCCCCACATCTAACCATGAATATTTGCAATATATTTGGTCCCAAAGGTATTCGTGCTGAATGCATTTGCTGAGGTGTTGATTGAGCTGAGAATAAAAAGAATATTGCTAAAAGCATAAGTATATTTTCAGCTCAAAAAATGGATTTTATATCTTATCCCAATATTGACTTTAAATAATTCAAATTCAGTTGTAGTTGAATCATATTGATTAACATATTCCAACATTGTCAATCTAAGACTTCCTTAATTTAAACCTTTACTCTTAAGAAAGGACATGAACTATCAACACATGATAACAGTTCTACTATTCCGCTCCCTTCTGTTAACATTCTGATAAGCTAAATGCTCTAAGCTCTCACCCCTTGATCCCAGTGATAAGGAACACCAGGTTGCCATTGATTTTGGTGCAGTTGACAAACTTGTCGATGTTGTTGGAGTCCACTGTCTGAGCTGTCTGTAGGCTGGCTGTACCGATGCCATCACACGCTGGAACACACAGTGAGAAACAAAGTGAGAAAGAAAAATGCATTCGTTTGATTCAATGTCTTTCTTATGCCAACATGATAAAACAATTGAGATATAAAGGTAAGCAATGGCAGCATTTATTTTGCTTGTACATCATTTTTCAATGCACAATATTGTTTTTGTATTAATACAACAGTAATTTGTATGAATCTGTCCATGGATGACACAGCTGGAAGTCACATATCAGTGACGTTCTTTATATTTAACAAAAATAAAACTTAATTTAAATTGCCCAAAACTCAGAAGGAATGTGGTAATGATGTATTGATGTTCAGATGCTACACACACGCACTTCGCATGCCTGATATTACCAGTGATAGATAACCAATAATTCTATACTTCAACAACTTCATGAATGGCTAAATAAATGTGAACTTAATGAATTACTGAAGAATAAATATGAACATCTGTTTGTGGTTTACCTTTCGGGCAGATGTCAGTACAAGGAATGCACAACTTAATGCGGTTCTCCTCCACCTCCATCTTGTTGCTGGGGCACGCTCTCACACAGGAGCTATGGTCCACCACAAAGTTATCTGAAAAAACAATTCATCGTGAATGTCAAATACAGATGGCTGCTGTTAGTCACACAGGAACATCCAGTAGAATAAGTGGCACTTACTGTAGTGTAAGAAATCACAGAACAAAGTGTTGGAAGTCACTTCCATTCACTTACTCTCTCCAGAATTACAGGATAAAACATTCATGTTTGCATTGTTTTAGCTTGCAACTTACATATTTTATGAAATTGATGCTTAATAATAAAAAAAATAAAAGAATCAATCTTAGATATTTACTAATCAGTGAATAACCATAAAGTAATGCAATGTGTACATGCTTGTGCGACTCACAATTTGTGTGTCTCTATTATCTTGAATGTTTAATTTGATTGTTTCATTTCTAAAAGTCTCTAATCAGTTGGATGACCTACCCTGTAGGAAAACAGGAGCTCATATAAATAACAGTCTGTTGGCTTTGGCAAGTCACTAATCACTAGTCAGCAAAAACTCACAATGAAATGAAAATGAAAACATCATGGGGGTTGTGTTAAAATAACGTACCAGCGTAAAAAATGTAACATCACTAGCGTGCATATATAATAACAGGCCTTGTGGACTGTCTTTCATAATGTTGAGTAACAAAGCGTAACGTTAGGTAAAACAAGAGTACATACAAAGCGTAAAGTTAACATTTACTTCTGGTTTCATACAGGACATGAACAGCGGTCTTCTGGTTGAAAGTTCTGTGCTTCTTTGACCGATCTACCGCCCCCTTCTTCTAAAGACCCCTTTTGGAATTTTTGCTTCACCTACTCGCTGTCTTAGCCACTTAGCTTTCATACCCACTTAGCTTTCATACCATGTAACTTTCAATAACGGTTGCTCGACATACTACGACGGTTGCTCTGCCTGTTACTTGTTGTACTATGTCCCTTGTTCTGATGAATACAAAAACGTTCATATTCATTGTATCCGTGGTTTTGGAGAAATGCACACTGCCATCATTGTTTCCTTGCAACAGGGCCGCACATATGAACCACGACAAAACAATAAATAAGAAACAGAATATCCAAAAATATTTTGTGCTACCCTTTGGACAAGCCTGAAATATGCACACAACCATGACTTACACTGTTTTTAGTGCAGCCGTAAGGGACTTACTTTCTTTGCACTTAACATTTAAATGGTTAAAAGTCCCACTACCCTCCCACCGGTTAGCCTTTTCACTGATGTTGGGAACATTGTAGGGTGTCCACAATTAGCTGTGGGCATGGTGAGCAGTTGATGGTTAGCTGGGTAGTGGTCACAGAACAAGGGATTAATACCAAGACTTACAACGTCGCAAAGAAGTAAGATCAGATATGATGATCAAACCAGTGGTCTTGTTATTCTTGAAAGAGCCATAGCCCAATGCAATAAGCAATTGTTAGATATTAGGCTGATGGACCACACAGGTGTCACCCCCAAACTACAGAATAGCTTTGCTACAGGGAGCAAGTATTCAGCACCGGGGTCCTTGTATCTATAATGGAGGCAGCCTTGCATTGCCTCTTCAGTGACAATGGCCAAGCCTTGTGCCATAGTTTAAAAAGGCTTGAGCGTGCAGGTGAATCATGGCGAATATCTAGACAGGCAACACATGGGGGAGTTTGGATGAACTTAAATAGCCCTTTGTAGAAATGAAGACCAGCAACAATGTCCTGATTCCAGAGGTCTAAAACTCAAATTGATCCTCACAAAGATAGGCATACAAGAGAACACTCTATTTCACACACGCACACACACACACACAGTCATCTTCAAAAAACTTCAAACAAGCTGTATCTACATTTACATTAGTTGTTTTGTATATATGACATACCAGCAAAAATGATAACGTTATAAGAGGCATACAAAGTAAATGTAATTCAAGCGTCTCATGTTTTTAATGGCTGTTCTTGTTCATGGCAAATCTGATCTGCCAGTAATCAAATGCAAATACAGCATTTAAAGAGCATAACTGTACTGGCTTCTGTCAATGCACTCTGTATGCATGTGTGTATAGTCCATAAAATTCAGTCTATGAAAATGCACATGATGTGTTTGTGTGTGTCTTTGTGTATGCACAGTTATGATCTTTGCTAAGAGATAAGTATTATACTGGCATTATGCAAATATAATGGCTTATTTTGACAGATATGCAGTGATACGTGTGCATTTACAGCATTTTAGTTGTTTTCTATGCCATGCTCGTGTTTCAACTAACCAAGTTTCCTTAATCCTCAGAGACAGCATTAATGGGTGGGATTCAGTGTCTTTTCTGAATTGATTTAACTCTACCTCAATGTCACATGTATTTGCCAAAGGAAAAATATTTTGCTCTCTCATAGAAAGCAATCTATATTAATGCTTAACTAATAATCATATTTTTTCATTTTAAAAAAAGTAATACGGGTAATTTTATTGGGTTTTAGGATCACAAATTCAAAGTGGCAAAGATAATCATATCTTGGAAAAAACTATTTGAGGCTATGGTTAGGATTGGGGGGTGCTGCGGGAGTATGGGGTGCCGGACCCGTTACAACGGGCGATCCGGTCTCTGTACGACTGCAGTAGGAGCTGTGTCCGCATTCTCGGCAATAAGTCAGACACGTTCCCGGTGGGTGTTGGCCTCCGCCAGGGCTGCCCTTTGTCACCGGTCCTGTTCGTGATTTTCATGGACAGGATATCTAGGCGCAGCCTGGGGGCGGAGAACGTCAGTCTCGGGGGTCTTGGGATCGCTTCTCTGCTATTTGCAGATGATGTGGTCCTGTTAGCCTCCTCGGATCGTGACCTCCAGCATTCACTGGGGCGGTTTGCAGCCGAGTGTGAAGCGGCGGGGATGAGAGTTAGCACCTCCAAATCTGAGGCCATGGTTCTCTGCCGGAAACCGGTGGATTGCTCCCTCCAGGTGGGGACGGAGTGCCTACCTCAAGCGAAGGAGTTCAAGTATCTCGGGGTCTTGTTCACGAGTGAGGGTAAGATAGAGCGGGAGATCGACAGAGGGATCGGTGCAGCTGCAGCAGTAAAGCAGGCGCATCGGACCGTCTTGGTGAAGAGGGAGCTGAGCCGGAAGGCAAAGCTCTCAATTTACCACTCGGTCTACGTTCCTGCCCTCACCTATGGTCACGAACTCTGGGTCGTGACCGAAAGGACAAGGTCGCAGCTACAAGCGGCTGAAATGAGTTTCCTCCGTAGGGTGGCCGGGCTCAGCCTTAGAGATAGGGTAAGGAGCTCGGTCATCAGGAGGGAGCTTGGAGTAGAGCCGCTACTCCTTCGCGTCGAAAGGAGTCAGAGCTGAGGTGGTTCGGGCATCTAATTAGGATGCCTCCTGGACGCCTCCCACTGGAGGTTTTCCAGGCACGTCCAACTGGGAAGAGACCCCGGGGAAGACCCAGAACACGCTGGAGAGATTACATCTCCCAGCTGGCCTGGGAATGCCTCGGGATCCCCCAGAATGAGCTGGAACATGTTGCCGGTGAGAGGGAGGTCTGGGTCGGCCTGCTTGACCTGCTGCCACCGCGACCCGACCCCGGATAAGCGGTGGAAAATGGATGGATGGATGGGTGGTTAGGATTGGCATAATTTTAAGGTTAGGGTAGCCAAGAAGGGGTTTTGACTGGTGAAATTGTGGAATTAGTATAACATCATCACAAGTATACTAGTAAAGCAGGTGTGTGTGTGTGTGTGTGTGTGTATCCAGGTGGTAAGACTTACGAGGACACTTCTTGACACAGAAGGCTCCATAGGTGTACTTCGCCCTGGGGTTGTGTTCCAGTTGGAAGGTGGTGGGGTTGTAGACAAAGGGCTGGGGGCACTGGGTCACACAGGCCCCACTGTCATTGAAGTTGGTGCAGGCCTGCAAGCACACACACACACACACACACACACACACGCTTGACTGTTGACCCCTCACTCCTCTTAAATGCCCGGTAGTACATTACATTACATTACAGTCCTTTAGCAGACGCTTTTATCCAAAGCGACTTACAATTCAGATCCTATCACATTCATACACCGTAGGCATAGCTACGGGAGCAATTGTGGGGTTAAGTGTCTTGCTCAACGACACATCGAAATGCAACTATGGAGCCGGGGATCGAACCGCCGATGCTCTGATTGAAGGACGGCCCTGCTCTCCACTTAGCCACAGTCGCCCTCATAGTAGCCACAAGTGATCATCAACTACCTCAGCTTGGAATGTTGTTTCAGCGAGGGATTATGAATTGATCCTGTCCAGATTTGCAGGCCAAGGTAAATCCATCAGTATGCCTGATTTTTTTTTTCTGTCAACACATGGGGATACCTTTGCATATAGACAGTAAGGACATGTCCAAGAATTGTCCCTATACCAATATTTGAGCAATTATCTTTAGCGTTAACAGATACACACACACACACACACACACACACACACACACACACACACACACAGAAGCAGAGAGCAGAGGAGCAGAATCGCCTGTTGACCAGCGCTGAGATCTGGTTTCTGGTGTGAACAGCTTGGCTGTAGCCAGTTATGACGTCCCCGAGGTCCGGACCTCGGTCATTATTTCCTGAAAACCCCACTGTCTCTCTGCATCTAAATGTCGTGAAACAGCTTGAAACTGACACAGATCAATAAGACAGCTATTTGTGATGGTGAGGTGACTGGGGAAGGCAGTGTGTGTGGGACGCATCGTGGTCCCTCCATTATATATTTGCATTATATTCCACTATATTTTGAATTCCCTTTACAAAAATAAAGACATTTCCACTATAAATCAGTGCATACAAATTCACCAGAATGCAGAAAATGCAGAAGTTTGACGCTAATAATTTCCCTGGAGGAGAACATCCAGACCCTCCACTTTACATGTGTCCCCCTTCCAATGTTGAAAGGTGGCCTACGGGCAATGCATAGCGTGATTGCAAAGTGAGTGTGTGGTTTAGCGAGGGAGACCGTGGCTGCGCTGAGGGCAGAGAGGTGTTGGTGACCGGAGCAGAGGGAAAGATGAGCAGTGAAGTTGTCTTGTGGCTGTAATGTACAGTGTAGGTTACAGTTAGCTCATGAATAAACACTGCAGAAAATACTCCTCAATACCGCAAAAGTCCCTATCTCTTGTTTACCAGCAGTCAGTGCAGACAGCTGCATTTGTTAAAATGAGAGCAGATCTGTTGAGTGTAACACCCAAGTGAAAGGCCCGTCTGATAGGCTTGCGTTCTAGATGGGGGGGGCAGTTGTGTTTAGTATTCATAACAGCAATGGACATTGCAGACTCACCTGGAAAAGATTTACACTCTACTGAGAGCACTTTTCTGGTAAGACTTATGATCAATGAGCCATTACATCTTTCTAAAATAAACAACAGAAATGTTATCTTCTCTTTTTCTTTTTTCGCTTCTCATGTTCTGAAAACGGTGCAAACAAAACAACTGAGGTATGTACTGAGCCATAGATTTTGTGTAATTTGATAAGTCAACAGGGGTCTTTGCTCTCTCAATTGGAGCGTAGTTCAAAAATGACTTCTTGATTTATTCATTCCTGATTCTTTCGGTGTCAGTCCGGGAAAAATACACAGTGACAGAGAAAAAGAGAGACAAGGGAGAGTGTTCAAATTTGTAGTTAATTTACTGTACAGTGTAAATTTAGTCGACAAGAAAAACCCAATTAATCGAGTGTGGTTCATAATGCTCTGGAGATAAGCTCTTATGTCTTAAGAAAATCAATGAATCAGATACAAAATTTAGACTTAGGGCTGCACGGTGGTGTCGCCTCACAGCAAGAGGGGCGTGGGTTCGATTCCCAGGTTTGACGGCCTTTCTGCGTGGAGTTTGCATGATCTCCCTGTGTCAGCGTGGTCTCTTTCTGAGTTCTCCGGCTCCCTCCCTCAGTCCAAAGAAGAGCTTAGGTTGATTGATGACTCTAAATTGCCCGTAAGTGTGAATGGTTGTCTGTCTCTATCTGTCAGCTCTGCGATAGTCTGGGGACCTGTCCAGGGTGTACCCTGCCTTCGCCCCAAAATCAGCTGGGATCGGTAAAGTCAAAGTCCAAATGACTTCCTGAGTATTCCCTTCTTGCATGTAATAAAAGATGAAGTGTGAAGAATCGAGAAGCCCAAAAAAAGAGAGCAAGAACTTGAGGAGTTCTACAAGTGATGAGCGCTGAATTACAACCACGTAAACGAGCTTAACATGTAGAGGGTTGAAAATAAAACTGATAAAGCGCCCACCTGAAAGCCAAAATGGAGAGGAGCCTGGTGAAGTCTGTATTCTCATGTCAGGGACAATTGGGAATGAAATGTCATTTAATGATATTTGCCATACAAGCGGCATTTAACACAAAAAAAAAAGTCTGGAAGGAATAAAACCTTTTGATGATATCCTTGAATCAAAGTAAGTTCAAAGTTGCGAGCAACGTGTGTCAGGTTTGTGAAAAACAGGAAATGAATGGTCAGAACTTGTGGGCAGGGGGTTATATTACTATGTAAACAACTCGATTTGTAATTTGTGTGTGTGTGTGTGTGTGTGTGTGTGTGTGTGTGTGTGTGTGTGTGTGTGTGTGTGTTCACTTACAAAGCAGTCTGTGTCCTTCGGTCCATAGCAGCCACCTGCACACTCACGATGGCAGCAGTCACTAACATAGGGACCAAAGCAACGGCCGTCACACTGCTCAGCACATACCGTCTTAGTTACTGTGGATTGACAGATATAGAGAAAAGAAGAGAAAAGGCGTATCATATAACAAGTCAACCAGTTCACATGGTTAGTGCCAACTTTAAATTAATGTTATTAATGTATCTAATCAATCATATTCTTCTACGTCTAGATACTGGATACACTGCTGGATGTCTAATATTTGCATTGCAACCGTCTGTTAAAACGTATACATGTGTGCGTTCCAGTGTGCGGGCAAGTTCAACTGAAGCCAGTGTCACTGCCACCTACTAGCTATCTTTAATCAAGTGTTCGTCTCCCTGCATGCTCCTCTGAGGGTCTCCAGCTGGATATGACAAAGACATAGTGATTCCTATCTGACTCAGTGTATCGTCCTCTCACGACTCAGGCTGTCAAGCTGACAAAATATAAAGGACACCGGCTGCATGAGGTGGGGCACTGGCGCGTAGAAATCCTTCTAGCATGTAGGGGATCCTATATTTACAAGGCACTTTTCCACTGGCGGGGTGACCTAGAGGGCACTGCATCACGTTTTCTCCACTGCAGGGGCACCCCTGAGGGCACTTTATCATACCATAGGGGAAACTAAGTAGTTTTGTTGCTTAAACCTAACTATTTTACAATCTTTTCCTAAACCTAACCAAGAAGTTTTGTTGCATAAACCTAACAAAGTAAGGTAATTTATGACAGAATCTTTAAGTATATACTTCCATCATATTACATCCTGCCTGAAAATTCTAGATCCATTTTTTTTCTGAGGAAAAACAACATGCGCTGATGTTTGACTTTCTTGCTTCCTTGAGTGTATAAAATCGAATAGTAAAAAATCAGAATGTATTTTTTGCATAAACTAGCTTCCTTCAGATTTAGTAATAGAAGTAAAAGTGAATTAGTTACAGATATTATAACTCAGATTGAAATAGTTGTCACATTACTCATTTGTGGGAAAAGTAGCAATGTTAGCATACAATGCTGGAGTGTTAATGTGCATGTATGTGTGTGGATGCACATCATTTATTTTAAGTGTGCTGTGTTTGCCTTTGGGCACTGTGGTGACGAGATATTATCACAGTGATTGATACAAGGCACAGACAGCCTGCAAAACACACACACACACACACACACACACACACACACACACACACACACATACACTTCCCTCTTTGCCTTACGTACCATCAGTGGCATTCCATTAACAGTGCTTGGGCTAAAATGAAATGGCCTACTTTTCTCTAAAGACACTTTGTCAAATAAATGACCTTGCCAGGCGAGAGACGCAACACTGTTGATCAATTTGGCTTTAAACTTACACTTTAAGAGAAAAAAAAAAAAACATGCTGGCGACGACAAATACAAAAGGAATCCATCTCATAAAATATGCCTGGAAGCTTCCATTTGAGCAGGTTGTGGACAGCTGCATCAGTCACAGGAACCACTGCCTTCCAGTTCCCATTTAAATGAGCTAAAATGTGCTTTTTCACATCTGGTTTCCAAAACAGCTTCATAAATGAATTTGGCATTTTATTTTTGCAATGGAAACTACACTTCTATAACTAGACAACATTATCTTAGAAGACCGTCTCTTTTTTATGATGTAAAATTGTTAAAACCCTCTTTTCATTTTCATTTTCAATAAAACCTGATTTTAGCATGAGATAGGGAATGTCTATACAACACTGATCAAATGCATTGATTAAAGTTAAAGTGTTCTTCTGGCAGTCAGCTTGATTTCATATCTAATTATAAAGCAAGGAATCTCTTTCTGACTGCATGTCCTTGTGTTCTTCACATACGTATCTCGGGGACCAGCTGATCCGCTCTACTTCACACTTGGTGGGTGTATTGCTGGGGACCCCATGGAGTGCTTCTTTCGAATTTGTGCAATTTGGAAAAGAGACACGTTCCAATATGATTAAACTTGGAATAAGAAAAGCACATAGCGCTCTGTGCAGCAGCAGGGCGGAGCTTCGGGTCTCTGCAGTCCAGCATGTCATCCGCACTTGGCGGACCGCAGCGCAACTATGTCGTGGCAGGTGTTGTGCTCAAGATCCAAAGAAGCGCATTTTTTTTTAAGTGAAGTTGTTTTTAGATTTAAAAATGATTCATATTTGATACTGAAACAATTTGGATTTAATTAGGGTGCTATTTGAAAAAAGGTAAACAAACACGAAGACCAAATATCCCTTTTCTTGCTATTCAGCTAATATAAGAGATGCAGATTCACTTGATGATATTTGTATCTCCCTGTGTAGCTTTGCTGTGTTTAGAAGATCTAGTGCTACTCAGACCTTCTCTTCAGTGCCAGGCACTGAGGTCAACACAAAGAAAGAGTTCTGCAGTTTCTCTCTGCATTCTCCAGAATTTAAGTTTTACTGATCCACTTTGTTGCAGTACATAATACCCCAAAGTAATCACTGCACCAACTGTGGCCTTTCCACCCTTCACAAAAATATATTTTTGGATCAGTGATCAGTTATCAGCTACATTATTTTCTAACTACACCACATTACAAACAAGGCTGCTGTATTGTATTTGAGGAAATTAAGTAGAATATAAATACATTAATTTAACGTATGCATCATTGCTGTAAATATTTAGTCATTATCTCTTTCGGTGCCATTCATACAGTATGTGGTGACTGTATTTTCTAAAGATTCTAAAGGTACAATCGATATTTTTTCAAATGACAATGTGAAAACAGTGCGGCAAAGGCGAGGGATAACTTGTAGTGCGTGATAAACAGAGAATTAAGACGTTCAGCGTTCAGTGTTTTAGATCTACTAGGGATGTGTCAACTAGTCACATAGGTACATCTGTTAAAAATAGGAAGCAAATGTAGCTGTCTTCTCAGGTGACTGTCCATCTTTCATTGAATTAAATGTAAGGAAATGTGTTAACATAGTACTCAAATAGTTGCTAATCAACAGGTCCCGCTGGCAATGTCAGTGACCTTTCGAAGACAAATGATCATCCTTTTAGAAACTCTAAACTGAGGTCTGAGATACAAACGTCATACCATAACCATACCATTGAAATGTCATCTTGTGTGTGGTCAAAGTGGTCTTTCATTTGACATTTTCACACTTATTCACTCCATGTATTTCAGCGCAATATAATTGAAGGTTGCGAGGTAGAAAGAGAGGCAGAATTATGAATCATGTCATCCAGGATGGAGATGGCGAGATAAAGGAGGCAGACAGACATGGCCAGGGCTTATCGATGGTCGCTCTGTGACGTGTTGTTAACAGGTCCTGGTCAAACAGTTCATTTCTTATTATCTTAATGAGATCGCGACCACAGAACAAATAAGATGAGACATGCCAGGGTTGGAAGGCATAGATGAAGTGGTCCGTGCACAGAGTGATGGAAAGAGGGGAGGAAACCGATGGCAAGGATAGCACAATCAAACTGGAGAATTAATGGAGAAACGAAAAAAAATGTGCACGAGTGCTCTTTCGTCTGCATGAATATGTACATGCTGTTCTTATGTGGAATTGTGAAGTTTCCGTGTGTATGTTCTGTTCCACTGCAAAGACGCCAAACATGGTCATGTTAAAGATCAAGCTTCCCTGCGTGTGTGTGTGTGCCTTCATAGGAATGGTGAGGTGATGTGTTAGACACAGAGTGAGCAATGATAAAAAATGGATGAATGGACATCTGTAGAAACAGATTGTTAGTATCTGCGAAAGAAGGGCGATGGCTTCACAGTCTTTCATATTGTCCGCTTATAGAATGCCCTGTTTTCAGCAGGTTATGCTGCTGGTTAGTTCACTTATCAAACACAAAAACTTGAATTATCAGTGTGCAACGGATCCTTCAGTGCTCTGTGTGCTCGATGTCAAAGCTTGATGTGTTATCTTCTCCACGGTGCTGAGTGATACTACGGGATATGCCAACAATTTATTTAGAAACAAGTACATATAGTAGTGGTAGTAGCAGCAGTAGTACATTTACTAAAGTGCATTCATGCAGTTTATATTCTTCTTCTTCCTCCTCTTCTTTCAGCTGATCCTGTTAGGGTTCACCACAGAGGACCATATTTCCATCTAGTTGGTACCCCATGCCTCGACCGATCCGGTATCAAAATTTGATTTTATGATCCGCATATTTAATTTGGCATAGGCTTTACACTGGATGCCCTTCCTGACTTAACGTTTATGTTTCTCAATAGTACATGGGACAGCATATTGACCTCCCTGAAAGGTAGTAAGTAACAATAAAAATGTTTTCTTGCATTTACGGCTGCTTCATGAATTATTTCTATTCTATTATAAAGCCATTTGATAATAGAATGCCTACAAATCTGTATATCATTTGGGGAAAAATAAAAAAATCCTCTTGAGGCTACATCCCATTTTGTTTGTAATTATTCTCCAACTGTCCACATCATTATGAAATGATGAATAATTTGCTAATAAATCGAATTATATTAGATTTTTTATGGGAATAGCATGGTAGTAATAGTAACATAGAACAACACCGCATGACAATGCTAGGGAGGACATAGAGGGCAATGTTTTCCCAGTAATAGAACTTTTGCTACATTCATTTTCTGATTCAGTCCAGAGAAACTGAGGGGAAATTACACAACGTTGAAGGTATTTTAAAAGCCTAAAAAATTTGGGGCTTCTGAGAAAACATTTGGTGCCGGAGCCCAAGAATAAGGCAATGATAAGCCACCTCTTCTGTGGTTTAGTTTAGAGGACCTGTTGGGACCTGGAGGCGCAGAAGTAAAATGATTAAATTTTATTCCTTATATTCCTTGGTTTAAGTCAGCTGGTGGCCTGTGGCTTGCAGCTCTTATACCTGCTCTTCTACATGTACAGTATGTGTTGTACACTGTACAACAGACAGAGAACGCCAAGTGGGTATAACCTGAGAAACAGACACTGACACAGAATTGAGAGTTTAAGAAAATGACTGAAGGAGAGGGAATAACATGGATGCCCACTCCCTGCTGATAGACTCAGTAGTGGATCACTCTCACACTCTCTCCCAGCTGCCATGACCTAGTGTGAAAAATGGGAGGTCCCAGCAGGAGGGTTTGTGGAAGATGTGTTGGGGGTCTAGGGATGTTGTTGGGTGTTGATTTGTGCTTGCGTGTGCTGGAAGTGGTGGCATTTCCACAGCCATTCTGGGCTTGTGAATACCTGTCCAGAGCTGGCCCATTTACGAGGCTGAAACCTGCCTGAGAACCTACAAACTAGCATTCGCTCACAATGAATTTGATAAGAAAAGTAACAAACTGGGACTAAATACGTTCATTTATGTCAGCAATACTTTAACACACTGAAACAGGCTTTAAAGAGGATTGCATTACTTAAAATGTCATTGATTATTTTTAAAGATGCAAATACATTTTCATGATGTAATGGAGAAAAGAAAAAATAAATAAATTCAAGCGTTCCTCCTTTGTAAATGTCAGCCAAGATAATATAAATGTCAATACACAATTAGAAGTTGTTCAAAAGACATCCAGAAAATGCTAAGAATTGCATCTTTTCCTTTGCCCTAAGACACACAAGACCTTCAATTAGGAAAGTAAAAGCAATATTATTTCCAACAAGTTGTTGCTAATGCAAATGAGTTGGCATGAGCGTGATCATCAGAGCAATAGTTAAAAGTGTAAGGTTATGTGTGAATATGATTGTTGTGTTGTAACAAGCTACACAGCTGTGAATGAGCCAATCATAGTGAACGCTAACAGCTGATGGCAATTGGCCAATACAAGCGCAACCTCTGTGCTCTGCCGGCACTAACGTTATGCTCCATTTTATGTAAAAATAACTCGGCAATCAGCCAGATACCTTCATTCCATTTTTTCAAGGTTCAATTGGGGTTTTAGCCAATTTATATTTGAAAACATTAATTCATAATAATTATCATATTGTAAAGGGAAGACCACCATCATACCTGGATCTTATCTTGTAGTGGCAGATGCCACAGTAAGCTTCAGATATGATTGTATAGTCAGGAAATCAGCTACTCTTCTGGTTGGGGTTTGTAATTTTAGTTTTGCTTTTAGAGTCTGAAAAACATATGGGTGTGGATAGAACAAGGCAGCAATGCATATGCAAAGGGGGGAATTACTAAACAAAGTAAAATCTAACCATCCAAAAAATTCAAATCCATGTAAATGTGTGTATAAATCATATGTGCATACAAATATAAAATACTGTGGAGACCTTTCTAAAACTACACTAGATGTGATTGAGAGCCACTAACAGGCTGAGTGGTGTCTTCAGCTAATAATAGTAATGTACTTACAGCTCTGACACTGGTCCCCTTTGGGTCCCCAGCAACGACCATTACAGGAACGATTGCACTTTTGACCTGCACAGTTCAAGGAGAAAAAAATCATTGGCATTTTACATTTGCAAACAGTTATTTATTCACAAAATATGATCAGTATCAGCCTTCAAAATCGATATCAGCTGAACTTTAAAATGGGTTAGAGGAGGTTAGCAGAGTATGTCTGCCATCATGCACTCCACTGAAGCCCAAATTGATCCAAAGCGAGGATGTAGGGATTTCTTCGGCTTCTCTTTAAGTGCACGGAATGTGTTTGTGTGTGTGTGTGTGTGTGCTTCATTATAAGTACATTTCAAGCACCTTTTGAGTGATTGATTATCATTATAATTGGACTCTGTCATAATAAACACAATCTGTAAGAAATGTAGGTGCTTGAACACATTACAGTATGCTTTGTGGTTAATTATACTGTATGATAATGGTATGTTTATTATTTATTTCTATTCCAATGACAGTTTCTACCCTTGTAATTACAAACTGATTGCTTTCACTTCATTTGATATTTAAGAGGTATTCTTATTATGATTCAACAAAGATGATGAAACTTGCCATCTTTTAGTAACAACACAGCCTCTGATTGGTACGTGCTGTTCCAGTCATAATAAACTTAAATAACCTTGGCACGGGTTGTTTTGGGAAAATAATTAAATATGTGGCTCCACTCTAAATCAGCCCAGCATGAAACCAGCACCCACTAGGTTGAGATAAAAGCAGTAAAGCAGCAGAAAGCACCAGCAGAAAGCAGCATCATACCCTCAGAACCCTTCTGTTTTTTTTGGTTTTTTTGGAGGACTTAATTGACTGTCTAGTAATTGACTGCGGGGGAAGTGAGCCTGGATAAGTGCAGAAGTGCTGTCCTCTGTCCATCAGCCTCTCCAGATGAGAGCTATTAGCATCAATACTCTGTTCCCCACCACAAGCCTCTCCATCTTCTTCCCTTCTTTTCTTCCTCGTCTGTGCCCCTCTTCACCGCACATTTCATCTCTTTCATCCTCAATCCACCCCTCGCTGATGCATCGCTCCTCTGTGGCTCTCTTTCGCTTAATGTCTATGCCTGTCGCTCTTTGTCTTTTTCCAGTCTGCCCCTCTGCTTTTCTCTGCTTCTACAGTCTGTTCCCCTCAAACTAGCACTTTTGAGAATGCTGGCGAAAGAAAGGTTGACAGCCTTGACTGTATGAAAAGCAGCACACAAACAGGATTATAATAAAATGTCAGCCAGCCATAAGTGGTTGTCTGACAGCGCCAAGTATGCAAAAACCTCAGATGCACCTAGTTAAATCTCTGTTCGACCTGCGAAGTCAAGACAAAGAGTTTTCATTGAATGTTCAAGGTCTTCACTATCTCATCTTATAAATTCTCAGTGACCTAGAATAAACCTGTCCAGCTCTCTTACTGCACCATAATCTTTTACAGCTTTCTTAAAACAGCCCCTAAGGTTGAAATGTCAAGAACGCTGCCATTCCCAGGGCTGGTGAGGAGCGAAAGACAGATGCCAGGTTTTCAACTGAATCAACGGGGCATGGATTCGAAAACCTGTCCTGTTTTTAGGAAGAGAAACAATGAACACAACAACAAGTGGCACAAATAAGTCACAAGTAATAACGACGTAAATCCTGCGTCTCCCCAAAGAAGATTATTGTCTCAATTGTGGATTACAGGTTTGGAGACCCTTGATCTTTTGGCGGAGTAGAAGACTTGCACGGGAGTAAGGGTCGAGCTAGGGCTAACAGGGCTGCAGGGAGGAGGGTGATAGAGCAGAATATCAATGCTTGGAGCTGTTAATCTGCATTTGAAGCCTCCAGCCAGTGCTGTGAGAGGAAATCCAAGGGCATATGCAGAGACTGTCCTTTTTTATTTTCTTCCATAATGATAATGCATTTTATTATTGTGTAATTATGTATTTGCAGAGGAACGAGACAGCTTAAAGAAAAGAAGAAAAAACAACAACAACAGATTAAAGTGTCAAACAGCTTGAGCATTAAATGAATAACAAAAGCAGTGTGTGTGTGTGTGTGTTAAGAGGTTAAGTCACGGAATGGGTCAGAAGAGGTAACTTGCATCTTTACTTCACTGACAGCCACCTCAACCGTCACCCCCCCCCCCCCCTTGACAGATTAAGTATGTTCATTTTATCCAAACAAATCTCTTCATAATCCTAAACATTTATTAACATGTCTTCCTGCTGACTACAGTGGGCCATTAAAGTGATGCGAGTGAGCAATCACTGTGCTTTGTTCTGGTAAAGAATGGAGTGACAGAATTGGGTCAAGGGGTGGTTTGGTAATGACAATGTTTTGCTGCTCACACTTGTTACTTATTGTCAATGGAGAAGGTTAAGAGGGTCTCCTTTGGACCATTTCCCTTGTCACAATTTACCAGCCCATGCTGCCTTATAAAAGGCGTGAAAAAACCTAACTACAATTTTTAAAGCCGATATTTGAGTCTGCTCACAGTCCTGTAGGTTTGAGTTCAGGAACCTTCAGGTAGAGTTGACTATACTTTTGATCAAGATTGTTTACTGCTAATGAGTCATCACATATGTAGTGATGGGCTCTCCTTTATCAGCAAGTTACACTGCATCAACACCTAAGAAATACATGAAATAGCATGTGAGAGAAATGAAAAGGTGCAAAACTGTCACTATTTGAAGAGACAAAAGAATTAGAGCTGAATTTACTGGCAGTGAGGAATGTAAAATTGATTGGAAAATGTCAAAATATTTGGGAAAGCAATGCAGTGGGTGCAGAGTTAGTCTGTGGGAGAAAGGGAAAGAGCAGCAATCGTCACCTTCTCATTAACTGCTGAAGTGCTATTGAGCAATGCAGACTGGACAGATTTTACACATCAAAGTCTGTTTACAGGTCTTGGGGAGTGCTACTGGAAATCTGACAAATCTGTTTAAAGTCTTCTGTGGCTTCAGAGCGAGCTGCGCACAATCTGATAAAGTGACATTTGCTTAAGGCAGAGCTGGTTGAGGCTGAAAACTACAAGTTTGACAATGCCAAAAATTCTGGTGGTATGTATAAAGAAGTGAGTATAACAGTCCTTTTTAGACTGCTGCTCATCTCGCTCCACTGTCGGTGGTCAAGTTGCATTGCGGGTAATGGCGTAATAAGAAAGTGTGGAGTAAAAAATGCAATATCTCTTGTTGTGCTGCATCAATTCTAATACATCATGATTATTCAATATAGAAGTGTAATGCTAAGTGCTATTCTAAGCATCAATGTTGCCAGATGTGAATGAGTATAAACATCTGAGTGAGGGGCAACAAAAATACTCTCGATAAAACTTTCCTTTAAATAAAGGTTGAAGTCAAATCAAGTCTTAATGTCTTCTACACTTGTGTTTGTTGGGCTACTTACATGTGACACTGCTGTTGGTGGGTACCACCACAGGATGCATCCGGGGGCTTTTGACAATGTCCAGCCAATGGATTGTGTCCGCATGACACAGGAACTTGTTCTGGTCAACATACACACCTCCACTCAGGATCTCTGTGGACAAGAGAGAGATCACACAGTCAATACAGATACACACAGGGCTTCCTTGCTACTTAATTGTTTCTGCCTGGAGGATGCAACTAATTCAGCAGCCCTGTTACCAATCTCCTGATGTGATTTTTAATTGCCAATTTTTTTTTTCCCCTCTTAATTTTATAACTTACAACTGACATAGGGGATACAACGGCGTATATCGAGTGGTGATAGAAAAATGTCTTTCATTTCAAATGATGCCCTTTATTTCGTTGCGTTACAAATCACACTCGTATTTTACATCATTTGGTTGATGCTTTGTGTTTTCGGGCACGGCATGGATGCAGCCTGCAGGCTGGACATTTGCATGAAGGCAGCAACACAGAAGAAAATGAAGGAGAGTGTATGGGACACAGAGCAGGGCAATTCTGAACAGGATAAGGACTCCAACCAGCAAAAAAAAAAAAAACAGGGGCTCAGACCTAAAAGAGGAGCTACTTCTGTCACATTAACGAGGTACTTTCCAAATTTCAACAGACTCAAACCGCACTAACCTCTTTTACAACTTACGTAAGAAACACCATATGACAAAGAATCACAAAGAGGAAAGAACATAGCGGCTGCTTTCGCATCTTTCATCTGCAATGACATGGACCACATTTACACGATTAATGGGGGTTTCGGGGCATAGTGCATTTGACACAAGGTACAAAATGTTAAGCCGAAAACACTAAAGGAGGAAATTCACAAGGTATTGTACGCTACAACAGCAAACATGTGGTCGAGCTGAATGACACATCCCTTTGTGAGTCTGACAATACATTTCATCTTAGACTGGACACTCTGCAGTTGGTGTTTACAGGCAGGCTATTACTCAGATGACCACACAGGAGAAATATTAGCAAGTGATCTCAGGGAAGCTCTTGAGTCATGGAGACTGCGTGAGGTCTGTGTCACCACGGATACTGGCACTAACAACATCCATGTACTTCAGCTGAATGACGAGAGACACTTTGTGTTTTGGCCACCAACTTCATCATTCATTAGTGCGTGTCTAAAACAATGTTATTACAAACCTTATTATCATTGTTCATTTTATTACACCAAACTGCATTTTCAATTGCTGACAGGAGGAACAATGTATGTTAACAATTTAGTTTTTATTGTAATAGCCAGACATGGCAAAATATGTCTGCCATTGAGTTTCTGAGCATTTAAAAGACAGTATAAAAGCGTAAAATCAAGAATACACCCCCTGACTTTGCAAATCATTTTCTAAAGTCATGATTTTTTATTTACACCGCGCGAAGTGTGAAACTACTGCAAGTGGCGTCTGCAAGACATTACATTACTGTTGTCTATTTTGTTCCAAGGAATTGAAAATTTCCTCTAAATATAGGAAGAAAATTAATAAAATATAAGTGCAAATATGCTATATTGTGTTATGTATTGTTATCTGAATATGAAGCTACCTATATTGTGATATGTGTCATTATCTGGATATGAAATGACTTATATCGTGATATGAAATTTCGGTCATATGGCACAGCCGTAGACTGACATGGCGTGTTGAAATCAAAATCGAATCACTAGATTGGAAAGGCACTTTATCCTTTTCTTTTCAACTGAGGGCAAATGCAGGGCTGGGTTTCAGGGGAAGGAACTGATGTTGAGACACACACATCTGACGATGGTTGTTGTACTGAAGCAGCCAGGACAAAGCAGTGTCATATTGCCATTATTACAACCTCTGATTTTGTTGTTTTCCTCATCCTCCTATTCCCATGCTGTTAGAAGACAGGGTCAATTAAGTCTCGCTGCCATCACAATGCAAAATCCATCTGGGGTTTTAAACTGGGGCTGTAGGGGACAGCAGTCCCTATTTTATAATTCATCAAGGACTTTGGTCATCACTCCATCAAAATATGTATCATCCTTCCAGTGATTGTCATCCAATGATTGTCAAAGGATTTATTCATGTCGTCACACCCACACACAGACACACACACACACACACACACACACACACACACACACACACACACACTGTCTGTTGCAGGGTGGTTCCGATCATTGTTGTGCAGGAGTTCAGAAAATGCTTAATCCTGACTTTTATGTGAGAAAGAATGGGAAAAAGAAAGACAGAGAGACAAATAAATATGGAAGAAAGCCACAGAGAGACGGATGGCGGGAAAGAAAGACAAAGTGAAGCCCAGTAGCAGATTTGCATTATTTACAGAGCTTGTGTGCTCTCTATCTCCTTACAAACAGATTACTGACACAGGGCTGAAACCGATGAGACACACAATCATACATGAGGCGCCCTGCAAGCACCACACTGAAACAGCCAAATACAATATCATCCCACAAAAGCCCGATTAAATGATGCTCCTTGGATAATAGGTGGTGGTGGTATTACCTACAAAAGCCCCACCCCCCAACCTCAGCTCTCTTTCTGCATGTGCGGTGGGAGTTATGGAGATGAATTAATCCTGCCTCTCACCACAGGAGGGATATCATTTGGGTAGGAGGAGGCCTCGTCTCAAATTCAAATTGTTTGCACAATAAGATGCTGCTGGGAAAGTAGGGCAATGGACAAGCCAACAGACAAAGCAAAGTAGTTATTTTACGACAAAAACGACAGCAGGGCATCTCAACCCTGTTCACGCAAGATATTACATGGGCATTCAACTTCATACTGGGTGGTGAAATTGGAACCAAAATAAGTCAAATCTAGATGTAAACATGTCCAAGATATATTCTCGGTTCACATACAGTAGGTTCCAATAGGCTTTGAAATGTATGCCATTTGGGTAAAATGACATACATTCATCAGGAATGGATGCAGGAATGTCCCATTTGAGTCGTAATTCAATCTATTGTTGTGCTTGTCTATGATTTTCGCAGAACAACAACAAAATCATTGCCAAGTCCTTACATTTGATCATTGTGTCGCTTGTGCACTCAAACCAGAGGCAAGGCTTGCTCTTCTAGAGAATACTTAGATATAAGGACATTAGCAAACAAGTACAGTGACTTGCGAAGAAGAAGAAGAAGCACATGATAATGATGGATATGCAGCATAGATTCTACTCTACTGTATTTTATCTTGAATATTTAAAGGTAAAAGCGGACCTTTGGATATGCTGTCCATCATCATCGGTGAAGGAAATGTGTCCTCATGTCCGTAAACTTGAGCCATACTCATGCCACAAAGATAATAACCACTGTTGTAAACAAAATAGTTGAATTTAAGCAACAATTTAGCCACAAACCATTGCCAGGATTCTTGTGTGTGGTAAACAAGTGAGTCAAGGTGTTTTCACTAATTCCAGCTGGACCTGAGCAGCATTCACACTCTCCAACACATTGTATAAACAGACCGAAAAATAAAACACTCTCTGCTAAACACTTTCACAAGTGACCCTCGGCACCATCCAGAGGGCTCCACCATCTTGTAATGATTCTCGCACACATGGTGCATTTGGACACGTACTGCACAACATACCAAGATGACCAAGATCAAGGAGCTGGACAACAGTTTAATTGGCTGCTTGCTGGCGCTTTGCCGAGGACAGTTTAAGTATTTCCCACATCGTCCGTCATCAATATATTAACAATTAACGAACATCTTACATAATACCTACAAAATTGTGCAAAACTTATGCACGCTTTGCTTTTTCATTACCATTAAATGCTTGGCTTGCACATCTGCTGGGTGTGCAGTAGGTGACCAGGGGGAGATCAATGGTTAACTCCTGTTGTTGATTGTTCAGTGGGTAGAGAACATGGCTTAATTAGTTTGTTCACGTAGCTACAGCTCGTGTCTCCAAACTACCCCCTACCCTTCCACTTCATCCACAGAGCCACTCCAAGTGTCTCTGAATGAGTGCATGGCTTCAAAAAGGCCCAGCAATCTTCAATATCAGGCCACATGACCGTTGGAGGAAAACAATATGAAATTCAAGGAGGCGGAACAAATGTATGCAGGCAATTATTTTGATGGTAATCGCTTGTTGTAATTTTTTTTTACTTTCTTATTGCAGTGCGGGGACGAGTTTGATTAAGACTGGGAGGCAAATAGCAAACCAATGATCAGAAAGAAATCCATATTAATGAGTTTGTGAGAGTGAATTAATAAGTGCTGTGTGGATTGTTTAATGAAGAAATATGTAGGAAAACAGAAGTACTATAATGAATGGTTGACTTGCTCTGGTGTTGGAGGACTGCATTATCGGATATCCTCACTAGTGTTCATTCTTTTGTATACTGAAGAAAATCCATGTTCTGAACTGCTACCATCAATACACGCAAGAAAACACATTCACTCGATAGCTAAACTTCAGTCCCTCTGAGGGAGGTATATACACACAGACGTGAAGAAAAACCAGCCGACTTGAAGAGTTAGATAGAGAGTTAGCAAGAGATAAAGAAAGACACTCAAACAGTCGGGCAATTACAGTAGATACACAGGTATTCAATCAGAGAGACAGGGGCGTTTCTCCTCTCCTCCAGCAACCGGACTGGGGATTTTACACTGGGTCTCCACCGTAGTGTCTCATTGAGTCCGAGAGCTTGTGTCGGCTAAGCGCTGCTATTAGCTCAGTGCAACAGAGGGGAAAAACTCAGTGGGAAGATGATGATGCATTCTGGGTCAAAGAGGCTAAATGCTGGGGCACAGATCCTGCTGTACACCCCAGCAGCAGTGGGAGGCTTAAGTTGTTGCTATGATGCACTCAAACTAGGAGTCATACCAAAATGAGCGCACATGTACAGTCAACACACAGAAAGAAGCATGCTAAAAACATATTCACAAACACACGTTTGGCTGAGTGTTGGCAATAATGAGGCCCTCATTACCATACGTGTCTTGAGAACCGATTGCATTACCAGTATAGGTCACTAATTTGAATCCCTATGACAATCGTGAAAATGAGGGGGGCAAACCATAAAAAAACTATGTAGTAGGAAGTGGACAATACTCATGTTGCTGGTCCATAGCGGAGCCCTTCTCACCTACA